GCTTGCTTACTTTTGTTGCTTTATTACCTTAATTTTTGTTGTTGTAAGTGCATTTTATATGTTTAATTGTTCACTTCTGAATCTCTGCGTATCACCATCAATCGGTTTATGTCATTGCTATGAAATGTGGGATAAGTAAGAGAATAAATATAAAGCAAATCAGAAAGTTAAATGTCATAATGACAATATAAAATTGGTTGTGGCTTTCTGATGGTACCATTGAAGACGATGCGCAGTTTCTGATTCTTACGCGCCTTTTCGTGTATTTGTCGAAGCGTATCTTAACTGCAAATCTCTTTTCATTAGGTCTAACTTCTATTTTAGATGTCTCATTGCGCCAAAAAAAGTGAATAATTTGTTTCGCTTCGTGTATCGAATGGTATGCTTTTTTGCTTACCTTCCATGTTTTAAATATCAATGACGATGTGGCCAAGAGTGGAACGGAATATTTGTTTCTTTTTTGGCGTTTCCAAAGTTGGTTGAAATATCACTGATGACCTTACGGTCACTACTGTTAACGCTCTGAAATCCATCGATTTATTAAGACATCAGCACTTACACGCACTGACTTGCGTTATAGAAAACAAGCAACCTTTACTGAGGTTAGAAAAATATGGCAATATCTATTGAATTTTGAAATGCCACTTGATCATAAATGCTTGGCTTATATTTTGCTTGCATTCTCTGCCAAGATGACAAACATATTAAAAACTTTGCTAAATTTTCAAGACAAACAAATGACATTGCAGCAACGATTCTTGTGTTTTCCCAATGCTGTTTTATGGCTAAAAAATCATCACAGTTTCCGCACTAAACTTTTGCTTGATCTGTTTCATTGCTTGTCAAATGTTGACGCACAGTGGAACATTTTCTCATCTTTGGGCGATTCGCACTGATGAAGAATGATTTACCAGAAATTTTGATATGTTTTACATATTCTGTTCTTTTCTGCATGCTCTTTTTAACCCGGGATAAGCACGCTCAAAAAAAACTCGATTTCTTTTTGCAATTAACACTCTGTTACGCCATTTGTTAATTAATTAGTGCAATCATAAAATTGGCCATGAAAATATCACTGCCATAAAATAAGAAGTGTTGATCACTCCACTGCTTCTGCTGAAATATTAAACTTTGAATGGAAGTGTCGCCTGAGCGATCACTGAGTTGATGAGGATTTTTCCCTTCATTGTTATATGTATCTATATTTGGATTGAATAGTGACAAATCAAAATTGTTGAGAATTTCCGAGAAACTCTCATTGTCCGAGTCCTTCTGTTGAACTACTGCGTTTTGAACGGATGCCTTGCTTGAGGGAGCAGGAACTTGGTGAAAATAGATCGGAATGACATTTTGCTGTGGATAATCAGAATAATGGACATTAGTAATAATATCATCGATGTGGAAATTAGTAGGGAGCAAAACCTACTATGAGCGAAATGATGCAAAGCAGAAGCAAAAGACTGAACCGAATGATCTGTGCCATCGACATGATGAAGAACAAGATGAAGTACAGTACTTTTAAAATGGCAGAAATGCGTGAATGGAAGCTTTTTATTTCAAAATGATTGGAATTCAACGATCAGAGGTTTTTAATCTGCGCAATTCGCATTGTTTCCCGTATTTGATTTCTCTTACATTCTCATTTTTCTATTTCCGAATTAACAGCTTATGAATAAGTCTTTGACCCCCAAAGAGAACATTACAATAGTCCATATTTCATGGAACTGTTGTTATTTCTTTGGATATTTCTCAAAGAAGTTCCCATCTCCTGGTAGTGCATGTAGAATAACTGACCTCACAAAGAATGAGATTTTGAGAGCCATCAATTGAATCTAGTTTTTAATTCATGGGATTATTATAATCTGATTTTTAATTCTTGGAATCGTTTTTCAGGCATTTGTCGGAAAAACCGAAATAGTTGTATCATGGAATTATTCATTCAAATAGTTTGCATTTACATTTTTTTTCTCTCTCATGCTTAAAATCATGAGTCAGCTATCTAATCTTTAAATCGTCTAAAGGAGCTTTGTCTGATGTTGAGATTTGCGCACATCCGGATGACAACGAATTTTATGCACATTAATGGGCATACTGTAGAGATATCTAATCTCATAAACATATTTTTATCCAATGGTGCATCTCTAGATTTCTGTTAAGCATCGCATTTCTTTCCTTTCTTCAAGCAATATATATCGTGATTGAAGCCACTTGTTTTTAATATAAGTTAATATAGATATTTAGATTTCTCTGGCGGCTCTGAGGATACGTCAATTTGTTATGATTGTTTCGCTTCACACATTCCTTATATAAACATAAGAAATCCTAACACACATTCATTGTTATTAAAAACCCATCAGTCGGCATTCAGCTTCACACAACTCACCCTTTATTTCTCCTAATTCATTAATTACTACTTACAAATTTCTCTCATTATTCTATTGTT